TATATGTCTCCTGCTCATATTGGGTAAAAGCTGCCTTCAGTAATAACACCCCTCCATCTGTCATCTGCGAGGCTTAGGGAAAAATAAGTTTCCTTCTGAAATAAAGAGGCAGGGAGGTCAGGCAGTCAGTGTACTTAATGAGTGATGGGGGTCGAGAGGATAACCAATGGTTATCAAAGAAAGAACAATGGGTTGCTAACAACCTCTGTGCTCCTGTCCTTGGTCATACATACACGGAGAAAAAAGAGAGGACAAGAATTAAAAAGGGGGGGGGGGTTCTGAGATCTATAAGAAAGATAAGACCACCCTCTCCCACGGACACCCAGCTCTGGGACCTCTTCTCTTCAGAGAAGTCAGTCTCTGTCCCTGTCTTAAATAAAGCTTGCTCTTGATGGATAGGGAAACTTTGGTATATTTACACAATGGAACATTACTCAGCATTAAAAGAAAATAAAATCATGGCATTTGCAGGTAAATAGATGGGAGTTAGAGAATATAATGCTAAGTGAAGTTAGCCAATCCCAAAAAAACCAAAGACCAAATGTTTTCTTTGATATGAGGATGCTGACTCATAATGGCAATGGGGGAGGGGGCATGGGGGAATGGAGGAACTTTAGATAGGGAAAAGGAGAGGAAGGGGGAGGGAGAGGCAAGGGGGTAGGAATGACGGTGATATGAGTTAGACATCATTACCCTAATTCATGGATGAAGACATGAATGATGTGAAAACATTTTGGTACAATCAGTGACTTGAAAAATTGTGCTCTATATGTGTAATATGAAATGAATTGCCTTCTACCATCTTGTGTAACAAAATAGAATAAATAATTTAATAAAAATAAAATAAAACTTGCTCTCTGTGCTTAGCGTTTCTCAGGTGTTTCACTCTTCAACACCAGGGAACAAGACCCATTCCTTATCTCCAAAAACAGCTATTAATATTTAGGTTCTGACTGTATGCCAGATCTGCTCAAGTTACTTTGCATAAATCACACCCTTAAGCCCTAAAACTGCTTTCCATTATTATCCTACTCATAGGATTACACATCTAGAGACAATGGTGTTCGACCAGGATGCAAGAAAAGACCACTGACTCCAATTAAAATCAAATTAAAGTAAGCTTATTATTTCGACCAGCCGGGCTGCCTCTCCCACCCAAAACCACGGGAACAAGGCAGCAGCCACAGCTTTCCTACAGCCCAGCTTTACAGCCCAGAAAGTTACACAAAGTGTGGGGGGGTTACAGATGACAGAAGTCTGACGAGCATAACATAAATGCTAGTTTACATTTTTGCTGGCCCCGACATCAGAATTTATGAAGGTCATTAGAGCCTCAGAGAGAGTCGTTATCTGGCCAGGGAAGGCCAAGATTTGTGAGGCGTCACTAAAGTTTCAGAGAGCCAGGCATGGGTGAGTTCAAGGCACGGCAGGCATTCCAAGCAGGTTCAGAATTTGCAGTAATTTATAGTAAAGCCGAAATTAGCTTTTCATGGCTTTGTGGCGAGATGGCTCCCAATTTTAAGAGAAAATCAGGCTGGGTCTATCAAATGGGAACAGTAATGGTGTATTTCAGACTTGGACCCAACACGGTTCTCTCTACACCACACTAGAGCAGCTTCCAAGATGCCACCCGCAGATTCCTAGTGCGCCCTCTCTTCACACTAAATTATGTTTATCTTTTTAAAATGAATGAAAATGTGCAAATTAGAAATTTGAAACCTCTAAATGCCATATCTCTTCTAATTTATTACATTGACACCAGTGAGCTTCAAGTTAATTAGCAGGAACACCAAACATTCCACAGAAGTCCTAAAGCTCTTTAAGTCTCTGACTTACAAAACCACTTCAGAGGAGCTGTGTAATCCTAAGCATGCAGAGGGCTAGCCGTTCAACATTTCTAGTACACTCTGTGATCAGACCTAATTTTGATTATAAAATTATGAGGTATTGGCTACAAACTTCACAGAGATCCTCAAATGATCTTATGATAATACCAAATATTGTGTTTCAATTTACTTAACTTTATGGGTAAACCAAAATGGCAAATATAGACGTATGTTTTTCTGTGGAATGATGAAAAGGGTTGTCATAGTAAATATAATGCGATGAAAAATTCATGTTCACCCAAAACCTCAGCATGCGACCTTATTTGGAAATAGGGTCTTTGTAGACTAATGAGTTGGGGATCTTGTGGTGAAATCATCCTTACCAGAAGAGAAGGCGCACAGAAAGACAGAAAGAACAGATGAGAGGACAGAGATGGGAATCAGTGATGCTGCGTAAGTCAAAGAACACCAGGAACCGCCAGAGCTGGGAAAGGAAAGATTTTCCCTAAGAGCCTTTGGAGGGAGCATGAATTTGCAGACACCTTGATTTAAAACTTCTGGCCTCTAGAATTATGAGATGAATCTCTATAGTTCTAAGCCACCAAGTCTGTAGGGATGTGCTATAGCATCCCTAGAAATACACAGAAATAAAGGCACAAGTTTTTTGTGCAGCCTGATGGAGATGAGCAGCTTAATAATTAAAAGGCCGCTGCTTCACCAATGCCTCCAGGGGAAAGAAGACCCCCTCCAAAAGCAGGAAGGAAAGACTATTCATTCTGAGACAGAAAGATTCAAATGACGATTTTCAGAGCACTCCAGGAAAGAGAGGGGACCCCTCCAATGGGAAAGGCAGCTCTGAAGACTCTCTCCATCTTCTGTTAGAGTCTGTAAACAAGTCAAGATGGCGCCTGGCATTTTGCAGAGGGAGTGGTTTGTGAAGTAACACCAGCGAGCCATTAAGTGTGGAGATTCTTTATTGATTGACTGCTGTATCTAGTTTATGTTAATTAAGATAAGCTGTGTGTAATGTATATATACCCCTCCGGTCCTACAATAAACGGCTCCCACTCCTGCTGTATCAATCTACACAAGTTGCTCGTCACCACCCCCACCACCACCCCCCACCCCCGGTTATTTTGCTGTAGCCAGACTGCAGCAATCTTCCACATTCTCCAGTTCCGAGCAAGGAATGGGATGTTCTCTTCATGAGAAACTTGCTCCAAATACTGTCCTGTGAGCTCCACCAACCATCAAGGATTGGCACATCTTTCTGTAACTATCACATCTGGGGTGACGCTTATCTGTCCACCTGGGGATGCTGCCCAGCTCACCACTACTATCAAAACCCACTATCACCCATCGTCTACAGATAACTCATTACCTAAGCTTCTAGAATTGAAGGTGGGCACTCTTTAATAGTGGACAGAGAAAGGGATGGTGTCATGGAGAGAAGCTTTGTCCCAGTCCATGCCCACGAAAGTGGAATTAAACAGCCTGTGTGAAAAGGAATATGCACTGCTCCTCTCACATAAAAACCACAGGCAGAAATTCTAAGGGGAAAATGTGATGTATTTGACTCCTAAATACCAAAATACATTGCAAACAAAGTTAAAGGTAATTGACACTGGAGGAAATATTCGCAACACATATCACAGAAGGAGTTTTCATACATCTAAAGTTCTTCCAAGTCAGTATTACATTTACATTAAATTTCAAGTCTAAAAATGGGCAAAAGTCCTGAACATGGAGGCCCATGCCAGTAGTCACAGCTACTGTGAAGGCTGAAGCAAGAGGATCCCTTGAGGCTAGGAGTTACAGGCCAGCCTGGGCAATTTTGGGAGAGCCAGACTAAAAAAAGGGGGGGGGGGAGAGGCAAATCAATAAAGCACAATTTAAAAAAAAAAAACACTATCCTTCCTACTAACAAAGTGAATACAATTAAAAATGTCAATTACTGATAAAATGGGCAGTCATTAAAAATCAACTGTAGCCGGGGTTGGGGGGCAGGGTGCACGCCTGTAATCCCAGCGGCTAGCGAGGTTCAGGCAGGAGGATCATGAGTTCAAAGCCAGCCTCAGCAAAAGTGAGGCTCTAAACAACTCGGTGAGACCCTGTCTCAAATAAAACACAAAATAGGGCTGGGGATGTGGCTCAGTGGCAGAGTGAACCTGAGTTCAATTTCTGGTACCCCTGATATGAGTACCAGAAATATTATAAGATTATTGACTGTTGATTCTATTAATTAGTGTGTGTGTGGGATAAGACTATAAGTAATGTGCCCATAACGTAATGTGAACTGCAAAACTTGGCTATTAACTGCAGAACTAGACTTGTTAGTGATGTAGTCTACACCCGGGGATACACCCCAGACCTCACTCAGTTATCAGCTACAAGCACAACTGAACTAGGGCTTAAAAACCCAGACTTCTGGTGGGGGGAGGGGGGGGCGATGGGACTAATAGGACCCGGACAGAGACCCGTCGCTGTTATCCCCCTTCACCAGACCTGGACTTAAAGACACGTCACAGGTGAGCATCTGGGACCCCTGGGTGTAGACTCAGTTATGACTTAGAATTAGGACGTGTCTGAAGAGTAACGAGCATCAATAAAATAGGTTTGATTGAATCTATCTTCGCCTCAGACTGAGTCCCTAATAACCGCTTGTGACACGCGCCCCCCCCCAAAAAAAAAATCATCATTGGGTGATTTTAAATTTCTCCTTGTCCTTGTCTGTCCATATCTGAATTTTCTACACCAAAATGCACCGTTCTGTGATCAGACTGCCGAAACACTCATGCGTAGGAAAGAAGCTGTAAGGCCACTGCTCTCGGTTCACCCGCTTCCGCAGGGCAAAGGCGTCCACACCGGCGGGAGCCTCGCGCTCAACCCAGGTTCCAACCCGGCGGCGAGCGGGAGAGGCCGCAGCGTGAGAACGGACGCCGGGCCCGCCAGCTCGCTCCCAGTCAGGCGCGGACGCAGGGCCCGGGCGTCGCGCTGGGGCGGGGAGGCTGCCTGCGCCACCTCCCTGCTCACCGCTCGCCAAGAAGAACTCGCGAGCTCCCGCCGCCGGGCCCGCGACGCCCCTCCCCACCGCGACGTCGGCGGGCCCTAGTGCGCATGCGCGCGCCTGCCGGCCGGCCGGGTACTCCCAGCGGGCACCGCGTGGTTTCCACGGCGACGCGCCGGCACCCCAGAGAGGCCGGGTTGGTGCAGCCGCTTGAGCCGCGGGGAGCTGGCAACTGCCCGCCGCCGCAGCCTGTCGCTCGCCCGAGGCGCCTGCTGAGCTCTTCCCCGGTCCCTGTCGGGCTGGCCTCGAGCGCCGCTCCGCTGGTAACGTAGCCCGGCGCCGAAGTTTCCTTTTTGCAAAGCGCGGCGGGTGAGCGGCAGCCGCCCTGCCAGGAAAGAGCGACCAGCGCCGACAGCGCGAGTGCAGCCGCGGAGCGGCGGGGCCACTCAGGCAGTAGGTGGGGCACGGCCCCCAGGGAGCCCGGGCTGCTGGGCCCGACCCGCTGGCCTTCGCCCTCCTGCGCGCGCCCTCTCTTGCTGCGGCTCCCTCCCGACCTGGTCGCTGACTTTGCCCCAGGCTCCGCACCCTTTGAATAGTCCTCTCAGCCTCCGGGCTCTTTGTGCCTAGGTTCCTTTGAGGCGTTGACGTTTCGTTGCCACAGTTATGCCAACAGTTAATTCTTCCAGGCAGCTTCCCACGGGCTGAACAGGACCTTGAACCTGTTTTCCGGCTACACTCCCTAGATGACTGCATCCAGTCTCATGGGCTCTCCATGTCAATGTCAGTGAGCTCCGAATGCCTACGTCCACCCCAGCCCTTCCCCTGAACGTGACACTGGTGCACCTAGCAGCCTACCACGACCCTAGGTAGGTGACTAAGGCATCCCAGAGGCTGTTAAGTCCAAGACAACTCCTGATCACTCCCCAACCCTGCTCTTAAGCCAGACCCTCAACCTGAAGAAACTCCATTCTTCAGGTTGCCCAAGCCTTGGTGCTTTCTATTCTGTCGGCACATCCTTCAAGATGTACCCAGAAGAGTCACAGTTCCACCATTTCTCCAACCCCCCACTGTCACCACCCTGATCCAGGCCACCATCATCTGGTGCTTGCATTGTTTCAGTAACCTCCGAACTGGTTTCCTGGCTTCTGCCTTTCCCCACTTGAGCATAGGCAGTCATGTTAGTTTCCTTTTCTTGGTTATTTTATGGAAACAAGGTTTTTTTTTTAAGGATTATATGAGTTTTTTACTTCCCATAGATAAAAAATAAATTCTTTAGTACACACTTAGAGAATTGCAGCTGTTTAGCCAGATAGACAAGACTAGATAAGAACCATACTGTTAATAAGCTACAAATTGAAAGATGCCCTTTAGCTTTCTTAAAGGAATAAATATGAGTGTCCCTGGAACAGAACTTTAAAAAGCCCTGGTAAGACCTTTAAAATGGACTGCAGGGAAGAACAAAAGACCCCCCCAACCCTTCTTACAAGTGAGAAAAAGGAGCCATGTAGGATGGTATCAGGTATCCATTCTCTCCAATATAATCCCCTCCTCCATCTTTTTGCTATGTTTACTCACCCCCATCCCCACGCCCTCACACGGGACTTTTAAATATACAAGTCTCCTATCACAAAAGAAAGAGAAAAATCCTTTACCCCACATTCCCCTTCAATTTCCAGTTATTGTTTAATCCTTTATACCCTTGGATAGGTCCACTATTTAAAGAGTTGCTATATTTCAATACATCTGTTTTGTATCTCTTTCCTCAACCCCTTCAAGTCTCAGTATGGCTTCCATCCCGTCCTTATGCAGGAAAAAAAAAAAAAAAAAAAACTCTAATGAGATATTTGCAGGCTTTATCTTGCTCAGTCTGTGAGCAGCATTTGACACTGCTGCCACACCTCACTCTTGAAACACACTTCCTCCGGCCTCTTCAGTGCTTCTTCTCCCCTGCTTCTCTGCTCTTCTTGTTGCCATTCTGGCTCCCTCTCCTCTTCCAGGCTCCATAATATTGGAGTTCTTTGTAGCTCCATGTCTGTTCTCCCTTTTTCTCCCTGTTCCCCCTAGTCTTTGACACTAGTCATAAATCCATGCCTTTGGCTTTAAGTGCTAAGTATGTACTTGGCACTCAGCTTTCTTCACAGTGTCCTCTTCTGAGCTAGACCAATATGTCCAGCTAGCTGAATGTTATGGCTTCTTTTTTTTTAATTTTTTAATAGTTGTAGATGGACAGTATGCCTTTATTTGTTTAGTTTTTTATGTGGTGCTGAGGATCGAACCCAGTGCCTCACACATGCTAGGCAAGCGCTCTGCCACTGAGCCCCAACCCCAGCCTCTCATGATATTGCTTCTTAATATCACTCATACACTTCCAGTTCAACAGCCATGAGACCAAACAGTGTCCCACCAAGCAGCCCTAACTGGAATCTCTTCCATTGTAAGTTGGGGTTCTTCCTTTGGCCTTTCTCTTTACCCCACCATCCAGTAAACTATGCAGTCCTGGTGATGTCCCCTGGGCATTTTTTTTAAATACCTCTATTTATTTATTTATTTTTGTATGGTGCTGAGGATTGAACCCAGTGCCTCATGCGTGCTAGAAAAGCGCTCTGCCACTGAGCCCCAGCCCAGCGCTCTCCTGAAGGCGTCTTTCACATGCCTTCATCATAACCAGCACCTGAGTCCCACCCGCTCCCTTGTGTCAGCTTTCCATAACTAAAAAGTATGTAGAGAAAGGTTTATTTGGGCTCTCAGTTTTTGGAGGCTTGAGTTTATTGTTGGTTGACCTATTTGGGGGCCTGTGGCAAGGCAGCATGTCCTGGCAGGGAGTGCATGGTGGAGCACAGCCTCTTCCCTCCTAGCCAGAATCATCAAAGAGGAGGAGACCAGGGTCCAGAATCCCCTTCAGGGCACACCCTCAATGACTTGAATCCTCCCAGGAGGCCCCACCTCTTACATTTTCCCCACCTCCAGTAACAGGGGCTGGAGACCAGGCCCTGCTGTCTGGTCCCCACACCCTTCTGACTTTGTTCTGATCTTCACACTCAGCCAGCCTCTTCCCGAGGCAGGACTGGTTATGCCAACCCTCCCAGCACTCCTCTAGTTCACTGCCAGCTTCCTTCACATTCTAACACGTGGCCTTCCCACGACCCTGCAGGCGCTCACCCCACCCCCTCTCCAGAGTCATCAGGACCCACTGGCCCTTCCACTGGACCTTAGCCACATGGGCTCCTGTGCCCTTCAGGCCTTGACTCTGTTTTCTGTCTGCCCCTCATCTCCCTCCCTAGTTACAGCCCACTGACTTCCTGTCTCCCCTCAGTGCTTCCAGGGGGGCACTTGTCAGGATCCAGTCTGTTTGTTATGTATCCTGACAGAACTGCATCTCCTCTAAAACAAAAGTCACTCTTGTCGTTAGCTTACTGCCAACACACAAGTTCCTAAGAAACAGAAGCATTGGTGTTTGTTTTCATCATGGATTCCCTGAACCCCACAGTTCCTGGCACAGTAAGCACTCAAAGGTGTTGAAAGATGTGTAAAAAATATTAAATTTCTAGTATTTTAATATAATTTTATTGAAATAGATGAAAATTCTAGTTAAAAAAATAGGTAAACATTGAAAATTTTAAAGTGTGGTCACAGGGGAGCTAAAAATAGGCCCTGGTAAAACCCACATTAAATTTTCCTTTGGGCGGAAGAGTCCATTGCCTTTGTCACCACTTGGGGGAAGTAGAGAGGCACAGTCTCTCCTCCTAAAGGCGCAGCTTCAGGATGTCAATCTGGTAATGAATTCAGGATCTTTGTCAAAAATAAAATGTCTAAAATTATTAAGTGACCAAAACCCACACAACTAGTGTATAACCATCCAGTTGTTAAACATGATACATTTTCATATTGTCAGCTTGAAATTGCTGGTGGATCCAGGTTGGTTTCACTTGAGGATTTGAGTGCTAGACTGGGCCTTAGAGGTCACTGGGCAGTCAGCTGATTTCTCACCTTAGCTACTTGAGGCCAAATAGCTTGTTTCACTGGTAGAGCTGGGAAGAGAATGCAGATCCCTCGTGTCACAAGCCTTATGCCTCCTGTCCTGACCAATAATTCCAAACTTCCTCTTTTGACTTCCAGAATGACCAAGGTTCTAAAGCAAAAACTAGGACACATAATCTTAGAAGTAGATAGTGTTTGACATGGTGTCCTTGAAAACTCTAAGGTGCTGATGGTCTTGCCTGCACAGTACCGAGTTCATAAGCTGAAGGAAGAGCTTTCTGTCCTATCAACATTCTGCCTGACTGTGTATCAGAGAGCGCACGTGAGAGAGTCCCAGTCTCCTTCTCTAGGAGAGCCCCAAACTTAGTTCTGGTTGATGTTGCTCCTGCCCAGACTCAGGCCTGCTCCTGGTGGGGAGGCCACAGAAATGTCAGTGCCCTTCTCAGTACCCAGGGACATGACCCACCCCTGCTGACACTGATCCTGATCACCTGTTTCCGCAGGTGCCTCCGGGTCTCCACAACATCACCTGTTTTCCCTCTGTATTTTACTAGTGTTGGGGGAAGAGATGTTCTAATGTTGTGGCAAATCCTGCTCCTTGTCAGCTCACATTCACTGACCTTTAATATCCATTGGCAACTGCTGCCTGCATGAGTTTCCTCTGTGGAAGTTGTCAGTAGTGATTCTCTTTCCACCACTCCTGCACACCTATCAGTTTTACTGTAGCATAAGACAGAGCTTTCTCATTTATTCATTAATGTCAGTGTGGACTCTGTTTTAATCAGTGAGCTGTAATCCTCTATCTTCTTTATTGGATGCTCAAACTGTCCTAGATTTGACCAGTGAGAATTTCAAGCTGCTTCTGTGTCCTTTTAACACACATGAAGCTTTATCTTGTACTTTCCCTGACCTAGGCTTGGAATCGTCCAAGATACCCCAGTTTCTCCAAGGTACCCTGATTCCTTGTGGAGAATGGAGCCCAGCACTCATTGTTACTGAAGTACCATTGCTTCAGAGAGCAGAGTTGGGGGATATACACATTTTATAGATACTTATGCACATATGTCTATAACTATAACCATATATATATATATACACACACACACACACAAAACTATATATTCCTGTGTATAAATGTGTGTATATTATATACAATATAAAATATATACTAACTCAAAATTTCCAATTGTAATCAAACATCCCAGGGTTCTTTCCAGCCCTACCCCTTTCTAGGTAAGCCTTTTGGGCAATAAGAAGCTTGTTTTCCATAATTCAAAATATGTCCACTTATTTCCTAAGTTAACTTATTCTCTGTGTATTTCATTTCTTCACCTTGCCAGCTACTTGACATCTTTTTGTCACCCCTCCCCCTTACTGCCTCTGCCCTGCCCACCCTGCTTTCTTTTTTTTAAATATGTTTTTAGTTGTCAATGGACCTTTATTTTATTCATTTATATGCAGTGCTGAGATCGAACTCAGGGCCTCACACATGCTAGGCAAGCGCTCTACCACTGAGCCACAACTCCAGCCCCACATCCTGCTTTCTGAGACTCCAGGTACCCTTCCACCATTGCCTCTTCACAGGGGCCTTCTCCTTGCATTTTTTTTTTTAACTATCCATCTTGAGTGTCTATAAGAGAGTTGGATGTTATCTTTTGCTAGTTTTCCTAAGTAAACAATCCCATCAACTTCCCGGGGTTGAACACATTTTTTTCCTGGATATAGTACAGATGCAGTAAAGCAAGAGAAATTCTAGAAGCATTAAGATACTGTACCAAGCCAGGGCGCAGTGGCACATGCCTGTAATCCCAGTGACTCAGGAAGCTGAGGCAGGAGGATCGCAGGTTCATCAATTTAGCAAGGCCCTGAGCAATTTTAGTGAGACTCTGTCTCAAAAAGAAAAAAAGGGGGGGTAGGGACGTAGCTCAGTGGTAAAGTGCCTCTGGGTTCAATCTCCATTACCAAAAAAAAAAAAAAAAAGATATTGTCCCAAAGCATTTTAATTACCTTCTTCTTTAACTTCTTAGAATAGTGTAGTTCACTTTTATCTTAATAGCCTGCTTTCAGCCATTTTAATTCATGATGTTTTTCAAAGCACCTGTATTATTAGTTCCCTGTTGCTGCTATAAAAAATCATCACAAACTCAGTGCCTCAAAATAAAATATATATTATGGAGGTCAGAAGTCTGGACTGTCTTTAAACTGGCAGGACCAGTTCCTGCTGGAGGCTCCAGGGGAAAATCCCGTCCCTTACCTTTGCTAACTACTCGAAAAGCCCATATTCTTTGGCCTGTGACCCTTTATCCCATCTTCAAAGCTGGAGCATGGTGTCTTCTCTCTCTGCCTCTGCTTCCCTCCACCTCCATCATCATGCGGCTGCCTAACTCTGACTCCCTGCATCCCCCTCACAAAAGCCCCTGTGATTATATTAGGCCACATGGATAATTCAGGAAAATCTTCCCACCCAAATTCTTGAAATTGACCGCACCTGCAGTTACTTTTCCTATATATAGTAATAGACTCTGGGGACATAGATATCCCTAGGAGACCATTAATCAGCCCATCAGAATCATAGGAAAGTTTTAAACCCCAAAAATGGGATTTAAGTCCTTTCATTATGGAAGGCAATGGGCAGCATGCAGCTATGGATTAGAATTAATGTGTCTTGGGGCTGGGGTTATGGCTCAGCGGTAGAGCGCTCGCCTTGCAAGTGCAAGGCCCTGGGCTCGATCCTCAGCACCACATATAAATAAATAAAATAAAGCTATTGTGTCCAACTACAAAAAAATAAATAACGTGTCTTGGAGATCTTTACCTATACAGATCCATAAACAGAAATAGGCTTGATTCCCATATTTTTATGCAGTCTCAGTTGTTAGTCACAATTACAGCAACATGTTTCACCTGATTATTTAACTTTTGCAATTCTGATAAAAAATGGCATCTGATTGTTTTAATTTTTGTTTTCTTATAAGTAAGCTAGAACATCTTTTTCTGTATTTCTTGGTTGTCTGCATTTCTGTAACATTCTTGTTCTGTAGTGTGTTCCAGAAGAATAAATTTCAGTATGTGATGCTAAATCCACCAACCTCAGTCCTTCCACAATGAGATCCATTGCCCACCAGTAATACCAAGAGGGTCTTCCTTTTCTTGTTTTTTTTTTTTTTTCATTCTTTTTTTTAAATACCTTTATTTCACTTATTTATTTTTATGTGGTGCTAAAGATCAAACCCAGGGTCTCACACATTCGAGGTGAGCGCTCTACCGCTGAGCCACAACCCTAGCCCCCCCCCCCCGTTTTCTTGTTTTATGTTGTTTACAGGCAAGTAGTCCATAATCCGAACACACTGATTATTTTTGTTCTGTTTTACACTGGAAAGAAAGAACAGGCAGGGGTTGAGGCTGTAGCTCAACAGCAGAGAGCTTACCTAGCACCTTGAGGCACAGGGTTTAATCCTTAGCCCCACATAGGAAAATTAACAAATAAAAATAAAAATAAAGGCATGCTGTCCATCTACAACTACAAAACAAAATTAAAAAAAAAACAGGATCTTTTGTTCTGCCTCTAATATTTTGAAAAGCACCACTCAGTATGACTTCTTCAGATCTTATTTCAGCATAACCACTGGATAAGTACAATCAAGATGATCATTATTATTATTATTTCCCAATCAATTGCCAATAGTCGATTCAGTTTAAGAGAAGAAAAGCCTTGGTGTGAAGTGTACAACAATCCATAATGCAGATGAATGTATATAAATTAATATTGGTTCAAAACTTTTGTTCTTATATGTTCTTTGTGAGATAGTAGTACTTTTGTAACATTTTAGATTTTTTGAAATATATTCTCTTTAAAAAGAGGCTAAGATATTTCAAAAAACTCTACCATGGAAACTTTCTATATTCTACAGTGTGACGAACCCACTGCTCGGAATATAAAGTTTATCCTCAGATATCTTAGGGAAGTTTAATTAAGAACAACAGGTACAGGGATGGGGCTGGGGCTCAGTGGTACAGCACTTGCCTCTCATGTGTGAGGCACTGGGTTTGATCCTCAGCACCACGTAAAAATAAATAAAGATATTGTGTGTCCACCTACAACTAAAAAAATATTTTTAAAAAACCAGATACACAGGAACTCATTTTAAAACATTTTAGCAGATGATTTCTTTTGTCAGCCTTAATTCAAAAACAGGATGGAAACACCTGACTATATAGTATTCAAACATGATTCAGATGTACCCCTTGATCTAGAACATTCTTCTTTCCTGTTCTTTAATAACACAGAAGCTTACTGTTCTCTTCAGCAGCCCTCCTTTCATCATGGTGCATTCCAGAAAAACACATCATCAACCAGGTCAGATTTCTCCATTAGAACAATGGAGAAATGGACCTCATTTTAATATCTTGAAGGCAGAAGTTTGCCTTCATTACACAGTCAGTACTCAGCAGACACTAAATAAATGTTCTTCAATAAAACATGTTAATTAATTGACTAGTTAACTAAAAACATTCAGTGGTTAGCCCAAGACCTAGATTTTTCCATTATGTGCTGCATTATCAGAACTCCATACATGTGTAATTGCAGGCATTTTTATTGATAACAATAGCAAGTAGCCTGATCTATAGTAACACAAAGACACTCTAAAACAGTTTAGTTACCTTAAAAGCACTAATAGAATAGGCCTGATACTAGTCATCAATCAGTTTTTAGCAGATCAGTGAGAAAACTGGTACTTAATAGGTTGAATATTCTAGAGAGCCACTTTGTATACGTATTCAGGTTATTTCTCATTGCTAACTGCAGTCACAGCCAAAAACAAACTTGGTTTTTCTTTGGTTTATACAGCAGATAATATGTCTCAGGCTGAGTTCCATGAATAAGAATGAACTCTCGTGGTATATCCAGGAGAACCCAAAAAGACCCAAGTTCAGGTTACAGGTAGAAATTTTAGAACAATCTTAGGGTCTCAGGAATTCCAGAAAGCTAAAAGTATTGTTTTTTTGGCAGGTCTAATTTATGTTAAGGTCAAGTACAGTTGTGTTCCAATAAACCCAAAAATGCATTTAATACACCTGACCTAGCCTAGCCCAGCCTACCTTAAGTGCACAGAATACACATTGGCCTGCGGTGGGGCAAATCATCTAACAGAACCTATTTCACAATGAGGTTTTTGAATAACTTATGTGATTTATTGAATACTTGTATCAAAAAAAAAAATGCTGGCAAGACTATAGGGTATTGGGTATTTGCATGTTGTCTCTGCCCAGTGCTGTGAGAGTATGTAGCCCACAAAAAGACTAGAATTCCAGGGCTGGGGATGGGGCTCAAGTGGTGGCACGCTCACCTAGCAAGCGTGAGGCCCTGGGTTTGATTTTCAGCACCATGTAAAAATAAAATAAAGGTATTGTATCCACCTAAAACTAAAAAATAAATATTTAAAAAAGGTTAAAATTCCAAATACAGTTTATGCTGAATGCATGTAGATTACAGGCCACCTTAAAGTAAAAAAAAAAAAAAAATGTAAATTGAACCATTATCAGTCAGGGGCATTCAATTTTTTTTATTTTGGAAACTTAAGTACCCTAATAAGATCCACCTGGCAGGGGGTGCGGCTGGGTTGTGGCTCAGCGGTAGAGTGCTCACCTAGCATGTGCGAGTCGAGGCGTTGGGTTCAATCCTCAGCACCACACAAAAATAAATAAAATATAGATATTGTGTCCAATTACAACATATATATATATATATATATATATATATATATATATATATATATATAAAAAGATCCATAGGGCTGGGGGGGGCGGGTTGTAACTCAGTGGTAGAGCACTTGCCTAAAGTGCGAGGCCCCAGGTTCGATCCTCAGCACCACATACAAATAAATAAATAAACAAATATCCAACTACAACATATATATATATAAATAAATCCACCTGGGTTTATCATCTATGCCCATATGATAGTTACCCCAAAACTTAAACCAATAGTGTGGTTGGCCATCAGTCAAAAAATGTTTTGATAAGATCATTGTTAAAATTAATGGATCAGAGATAAAGAAAATATAGCATCACTTAGATTGTTTTCAAAGTTAGGTAAGTAAACATTCTAGAAAGTGCCTATTATAAGTGAACTAAGTCTTTTGTTCTTCCATTTTTCTGAAAGATCACTGCTAACCGTACCCTCCCATGGTCCACACAGAAGTCTTCTATTCTGCAAGTCTCTCTCCAGTTTTCAAATGAACATTTCCTGCCTGGAAAACAACAAGCATTTATTACGCCATGGATCTCAGGCACCGCTGATTCCTCCTCTCAGGATGCCTTTTAGACTGAAATCAAGAATCAGTGGGGGCTGCAGTTATCTGAAGACTCCTCTGGGAGAAGATCCAAGCTTTGTGCCCACTGCAATGGTTGCTGGCAGGACTCCACTCTTCACAGGCAGTTAGACTGAGACTCAGCTCCTCGCTGGCTTTTGGCTGAAGCCTGTGTTTCTTGCCCTGTGTCCATGAGTCAGCTCGCCATATGGTAGTTGGCTTCCATCAGTGTGGGCAAATGAGAGGAAAAGAGGGTAATAAGACAGGAATGAAGCCATATGCAGTGGTGCACACCTGTAATCCCAGTGGATGTGGAGGCTGAGACAGGAGGATCATGAGTTCAAAGCCAGCCTCAGCAACTTAGTGAGTTGCTAAGCAACTCAGTGAGACCCTGTCTCTAAATAAAATACAAAATAGGACTGGGGATGTGGCTCAGTGACCGAGTGCCCCTGAGTTCAATCCCCGGTACCAAAACAGATTAGGAATGAGTCTTCTAATTGCCTAATCTTAGAAGTGACATCCAAATCAAATCAAGGGAAGGAGGGACACACAAGGGCATGAGAACAAAAAATGAGGGCAGTTGGGAGCTACCTTCAAAGCTACCTACACACAGTGTTCATCTACCAGCAGCATCAGAAGAATGAAGCCAATGTGACTTGTGCCATGACTGGGCTCTTTATCCCTGGACTGGAGGTGCTGGACTGCCCAAAACCTGAGGGAAGGAAAAGTGACCTGACGGAATAGAAGAGGAATGGACACCAGGTGACCCTCGCCACCCAGCAGCCACTGGTGGGGTGCTGCTTCTGCTGCTTGTTAAAATGATCAGCTAGAAGGCCATCAGACTGGAGTGGCTAATGCCCTGGGTTGCTACCCAAGCAAGCCAAAGCCCACCTCAGGTGCGTTTCTCATAATCGACAAATGTAGAGAGAAATGAACAACTTTAACCAATTACAAACGGCCACCCAACCTCTACTTACTTAAGTAGGACCTTTCCAACTGAGTAGTCCAAATAAGACACCTACATAACTCACCTTCTATTTTCTCTGTTGTTTCCTCATTCACTTTATAAAAGGCTTTTCTTTGAGCCCCTTTAGCAGTGCCCCCAAACCCAAAGCAGTTTACGTTCTGCTTGATTCATGAAATGATGTTTGCATAAATAAACTTTTAAAATTTCTCATGTGCTTCAGTCACCCTAACGACCCCCGCCCAGTCCTGGGGATTGAACCCAGGAGCCCTCTACCACTGAGCTACATCCCAGCCCTCTTTTTAAATTTTTTGAGACAAGATCTCACTAAATTGCTAAGGCTGGCCTCAAACTTGCAATCCTCCTGCCTCAGGATCTCGAGTCACTGAGATTACAAGCATGCACCCTCACTCCCAGCTTCAATTTAATTTTTAACCCCTTTGGTAAACAGCTTGGAGGCCTTCTGGTTTTCCAGACAGTGTCTATCCCCTTTCCTAAACTCAGCAGAGAGTTCAAGAGAGTTCTATGTAGTTACAGCAAGAATCAGAAATAAGGGCTGGGGATGTGGCTCAAGCGGTAGCGCGCTCGCCTGGCATGCGTGCGGCCGGGGTTCGATCCTCAGCACCACATACAAACAAACATGTTGTGTCTGCCAAAAACTAAAAAAAAATTAAAAAAAATAAAAACAAGAGGAGAGATACACAGACCCACAGGACTTTAACCTTATCTTAAATTAAAAAAAAAAGAATCAGAAATAAAACTGGCTTGAGAAAGTAAAGCATCGTTTGTTCTTCCTGTGGCTCCTCCTCCTCCTGTGCCGCAGGAATGTCCACTGCCACAGCTGCCAGAGAAAGGGTCTTCCAGGTGGGCATTCTCTAGGCCTTCACCAGGTGCCCCAATGACTGCTTCTTTCTTGGTTCTCTTCCCTCTTCTCTGTTCCCTCTCCATCTTGAAGTCTTCTTATTACCCACTTTTTCCTAGGATTTACCCTACTTCCCTAAATAAATCATGAATAGAAGGCCACTTCCTCAACCTGGTGAAGAACAAGTATGAAAAAGCCATAGTATCATCCTTAATGTTAAAGACCAAGTGCTTTCCTCTAAGAGCCAAAGCAGGACAAGGACATCATTCTCACCCCCGCTCCTAGTCAATATTGTCCTGGAGATTCTGCCAGAGCCATCACACAAAGCAATGAAATGTGAAAAAGAAAACCAAAGTCTCTTTACTCACGGATGACATCATCATCTAAGTATAAAAGTCTGATTGAAGCTACAAAAAAAAAAAAAAATACTACTAGAACTAATAAGCAAGTTTAGCAAGGTTGTAGGGTCCAAGGTTAATATGCAAATACCAGTCAGATTTCTGTATCCTAGTACCAATCAGAAATTGAAAATAAATTTTAAAAAATACCACTTAAAACAGCAATACTAATTAACACCAATAGAACACTTGGGGATAAATATGACAAAAGTTATTTAAGACTTTTACACTAAAAATGCAAGACATTGCTGAAAGAAATCCAAAGAGATCTAATAAATTGGAGATGTAGCATATTCATAAATCAGAATCCTCAATATTGACAGGGTGTGAGTTCTCCCTAAATTTATCTACAGATTGAGCACGATCCCAACTGCAATTGTATTGAATTTTTTTAGGAATTGAAAAACTTATTCTACTATTCAGATAGAAATTCAAAAGGTCCTAAAATAGCCAAAACAACTTTGAAGAGGAAGAACAGAGTCAGAAAACTAATATTGCCTCACTTCGAGGTTAATTATAAAGCTACACTATCCAAAAACTAGAGAAATAGATCAGTGCAATTGAATTCATATGTACATATATCAAAAAAGTGAACTTTGGCCTGGCACAGTGGCGCACACCTGTAATCTCAGCAGCTCAGGAGACTGAGACACGAGGATCACGAGTTCAAAGCCAACCTCAGCAATGGTGAGGCACTAAGCAACTCAGTGAGACCCTGTCTCTAAATAAAATACAAAATAGGGCTGGGGATGTGCTCAGTGGTTAAGTGCCTCTGGGTTCGATCCCTAGTACCAAAAAAAAAAAATGAACTTAGGCTGTATTTGGCATCACGTGCCTATAATCCCAGCTGAGGCAAGAAGATCTCGAGCCCCGGAGTTCAAGGCCACCCTGGCCCACAGTAAAACCCCATCTAAAAAAAAAAAAAAACATAAAAATTAACTCAAAGTGAATAACAAGACTTAAAGTAAAACTTAAAACTATAAAACTTGTATAAGACAGCAAGGAAAAAACTCTTTGTGACCTCAGGTTGTGCAAACTCTTCCTAGGTACAATACCAAAAGGACCATTCTTAGAAGAACAAATTGATAATGGGGTTCATGAAAAATTTTTAAATATCTGCTCTTCAAAATATACTTTTAAGATAATGAAAAAGCAAGTCTCAGAAATTATTTGCAAAGCATATATCTGACAAAGGTCATCTAGAATTTATGAACAACTCTGAAAATTCAGTGACAACCCAATTTTTTAAATGTGCAAATATCTCACTGAAGAAGATATAAGGAGATTATTATGGTTTGGATGTGAGGTGTACCCTGAAAGCTCCTGAGTTAATGCAGGGATATTCAGAGGTGAGATGATTGGGTTGGACTGGATTGTGAGAGCTAATCAGTCCATCCTGGTTTGAATGGACTGAGTGATAACTGTAGGAGTTGGGGTGTGGCTGGAGGAGGTGGGTCACTCAGAGCGTGCCCTGGAAGGCTGCATCCTCCCTGTGGCCCTTTCCCCCTTTGCTCTACCTCTCTGATTCCTGGCCTCACTAAAAGCTGAGCATCTTTCCTCCACTGGATCCTTCCCCCTGGTGTGCTGCCTCACACTGGGCCCAGGGCAATGGAGTCAGCCTTCTACAGACAGAGACCTCTGAAACCCCGAGTCCCAGATGAACTTTTCTACCTCCTCGGTTGTTCTTGTCAGGTATTTTGGCCACAGTGACCAAAAAAGCTCAATAAAACAGATGGGAAAGAAGCACACAAAAAGATGTTCAGGATCATCAGTTACTTGGCAAAGGCAAAGCCATAATATAACTGCACAAACCTGTTAGAAAGACTAAAGTACTATCATATCAAGTGCTAGCAGTAATGTGGAGCAGCCGGAACTCAGGCACTAGTGGTGGGAATTTAGCATGGTACAGCTACAGTTTTGTAAAAAGTTAAACATACACCTACGCTACCATACAGCCGTCATACTCCCAGGTATTAACCCTGGGGAAAAGTCTACATCCATGGAGGTGGTCAGCTTTCTGCCACTGTGACAAAATACCTGAGATCATAACTTTTAAGGAGGAAAGGTTTATTTACTCTGGAGATTTCAGTCTCTGGTTGGTTGTCCTGTTGCTCTTGGGCCTGGGGGAAGGCAGAACATTATAGGGGAAGCTGCTCACCTCAGGGCTTCCAGGAAGCAAAGGGAGACAGGAAGGAAGGGGCTAGGATTCAATATCCAGACTACAGCATCCATACACAAAACTTGTATGTGAATGTTTATAGCAATTTTTAATACCCCAAAACCATAAATAGCTGAAATGTCTGTACATGGGCATATAGATAAACCAATCAGTGTTTATGCATACAACTGAATATTACTGAGCAGTTTTAAAACATGATTTTTTTTCAATACTGGGATTTGAACCCAGGAGTACTTTACACACTGAACTACATCCCTGTCCCTTAGTTTCTTTTTGAGACAGGGTCTCATTAAGTTGTTTAGAGCCTTGCTAGGTTGACAAGGCTGGCCTAGAAGTTGCAATCCTCCTGTCTCAGCCTCCCAAATTGCTGGAATTCAGGTGTTCACCACCACATAGCAAAAAATAAAGTGTTGATACACATAGTAATGTGGTTGAATCTCTAGTTGGCAGAGTTAAAGAAACCAAATAAAAGTACATATAGTATGATTTAATTTATATAAAACTAGAAAATGTAAACCAATCTATACAAACATCCCAGTTTCCTGGGATGGGGATGAGAAGCTGGGAGTGACAGCAGAGAGGAGTCACAGAAAGGTCCAGGGAAGCTGGGGGGTCATGGATAAGACACCATCTCGGTGGTGGTGATAGTTTCATGGTGTGTAAGTGTACCCCTGTGTGTACCCATGCACAATGTCTAATATGATAATGTCTAGTCTTAAATAGTGCACTCTCAATATGTGCAGTTAGTAAATTTCATTCATACCTCAATAAAAGAGGGAGTCTTTTTCAATTAAAAAATAATAATTTCATCCCAAAGATTTAAGAATTAGTTTTCATATAAAATGTGTATCCTTAGTAAGCCAAAGAAATTGACCTGTTGAATATATAAAAAATTATCAAATGTTGGTCATTCACCTACTACATTCACTTAAGTGTTGAAATCATTGTCACTGAACTGCTTACTATGAAACCAGTTGGTCCTCATTTTTCTTATGATCTCATCTTGTCAAAGACTATGCTATTAATAGTAAGAACAATGGTCTCTCTATTGTTCTAGCAAAAAGAGGCACAATAAATTTACCTAAAAATCTGGTTTTAGTGACACTGATGTTAATAAGTTCTGTTAAATCCCGGTGCTATTGTTACCAAGTATACATTCCTTCAAAATACCTGAAATACATTCTTTCAAACAATACAGTATGTCAATATGCTATCTAAAGCAATTATGTTAACTCTAAGTTTAGTAAGTTCCCCAAAGTACAATTTCTTATGATGTGAATTGAAATTATAGGTTTTGATTTTTAAATATTTGTGCCATTTCATTATAACATAGTGATAGATCAGTGTACACAGCGATTAATTTCAAGTTGCTTATGGCATGAGATAGATTAGGTTATAATAGTGATCAACAGCAGAATAACTGCCTCCTACCGTGTTTTAGAAATTTAATGAAAGCAGGCCAAGTGGAAATAGGATTCTCTACTGCCACCCATCTTACGAAAGAAAAGGAAATGTCTTTATAGTAAGACTCTTTTTTGGCTCATCTTGAGGAAACTACTTATAGCATTAGGTAAAGTGAGCCAGAAAGGCTGAGGGCAATATTGCTAAATATTTCCTTGTTGGAATATTTTTAATTGTATGATTTTTTTTTTGAGCATTTTAAAGAGGCTTCAGTTACCAACTTCTTACTGTGCAGATCCTGCAAAATGCAGAGACCCACAGGAGACAGTACCTACTGGGACATCCACAGAGGCTTCTGACTGCAAATCCACGTGGGGAGGGCAGTAACACCTTCAGCCCACCCCCGAATTCTAGATAAGTCACAAAGGCCTGCACTAGGGTACCTTTTCACATGGATGAGGAGTGAGGTTGTTTATGGAGTCTTGTTTATTAAGTCTTATGTTTGTTAACTCTAATGTATTTCCATTGGAATATTTTCCTTTCCTCCCCATTCTACCAGTTTTTAGTAGACAGAGAGACTAGGAAGGCTAGCTCTTTACTGTGGTTGAACATGGAGCAACCAAACTTATCTTGTCTGTCAGAGAGCGTGTGATTCAGAGGGAATCCTTTTAAAAACAGTCCCTCTACAACTACAAAAAAATTAAAAAAAAAAAAAAAAGATAGTTGTGGGATACAGTCAACTCAGACCTCCATGTACTCATCTAGGAATGGAAGAGAACCCCTTTCTACCCTAACTGGTGACATCCATCATCTCCCGCTCCTACCATGTGAAATTCAGAGTTACACTGACAAACCTGAAAGATGAAGGGAGAGGGGTTGTATTCAGGATAGTCTAGAATTTTGAACACTAGAGTGGAGAGATAAACTAAGGAAGAGCATAATCATTGGTAATTCCCTTAAGCTCATCACAAATATTGCTTGATTTACATTTTAAGGCTGCAGCAAGCAAATGTGTTGGGTCAAATATGCGGTTTGGGGGAGGCCAGAAATATGGTGCAGCAAAAAGGGCCTTAAGGCAAAGAAATCTGGGTTCAAAGCTCAGAGAATTAAGCTTTACTGGCTTTGTGACTTTGTACAAGTTAGCTGACTTTCCAAGCCTTATATTCCTCATCTATAGAGTTAACAATACCTAGCTGGGTGTGGTGGCACATGCCTGAAATCCCAGCAACTCTGAAGGCTGAGGCAGGAGGATTGCAAGTTTGAGGCCAGCCTCAGCAACTTAACAAGGCCTTAAGCAACTTAGCAAGACCCTGTCTCAAAATTAAAAGGGCTGGGGATATAGCTCTGTGGATAGGCGCCTTTGGGTTCAGTCCCCAGTACCAAAAAACAAACAAAAAAGGACCGACCTCATCATGATTAGGTAAGCTAATGTGTGTGAAACTTCTGCTCGGCATGTAGAAATATTATAACAGCACTACAGTAGGTCTGAAGCACACAGAGACAAGACA